AAATCTTCTCCTGTATTTTAGTTGTAGTAGTTGTAGTTAAGTTTATTTATAGGCCGCCCTTTTCCCTGAGGGGACTCAGGGCGGCTAACAACTTGTATGGGAGGGGAAAACATACAATAACATAAACACAATGTATAATTAAAATTGAGCAACATTCATTCAACATTCGGGTGGGGGCGGATTATACTCTTTACCCCCAGGCCTGACGGGATAGCCAGATCTTGAGGGCTGTGCGGAAGGTCTGAAGGGTGATCCCAGTAATCCAGATAAATAAAGCCCATTAGTAATTCCTATCCTTTTTGGCACACTGAACATATTTGACATGCCATGATGCATTCACACACACATACTAGAAGACTCTGCCATCCACTCTCTCGTTGTAGTCTGCTCTGTCAGAATATTCTCAAACTCTAAGATACTATCTTTAGTGACAGGTCACATACACAAGGCAGGCACTGGGTTGCATCTATATTTTTATTGAAGTGTGTACAAATGGCACTTTGCTTTGTAATTTACCTTCAGTGAATCTAAAATGCATGAACAGACATTATGCATAGGTAACAAACTTAGAATCCTTACATCCTATGTCTAGTTGCCTGCCCTTTTTCACAAAAATTACATGTGATCGGGTCTTGCTGTAACGTAGTTCTTTTTTGACTCTTCAACTTCATTTCCACCTCCTCCTTACCATATGCCTGCCATATTGCATTCTAGCTTTGAACATTTCTTTTGTTAAATATCTGCTTTTTCTTGTCATCTGCCAAAGGCAGTTTAGGGAGACCAACATTACTATTTGGGTGCATATACTTGCATCTTTCCTATCCAGATGAGTTGCAGCAATTTTCTTTAAATACTTCTTGATTCAGGTTGACGTGATTAGTACTCCAACATATTTGGAAGGCACATGGTTAGGGAACGTTGAGCTGTAGAACAGATTGTTGAGTTCTGGAGCAGCACAATTTGCAGTAAAGTAAAAAAAGTGTTGTTGTTATTCTTGTTTATGTAATGATTTCACCATTTCCTCTGAGGATTTTTACACCAGGGACCTTAGCTTCTACTATGTTGCTGTAATTAAGTCAATTATGCATAACTGATACACTGATAGATTTTTCTCTTGCTTATTCCTGCTTCTGTTTCCCTTTCCTTCCTCTCTCTTCTCATATTTTGCAACACGTGAATGGGATAATAATGGGATGAACTAAGGCAGCCAGCTCCCCTGTCAGGTTGGAAATGCATATTAAATAGAGGTCAACATAGTGTGCTGCTAAAGATGTGAATTTTGTGGCACATTTCTCTGTGCAAGTAAGTATGAATTGAATTAGCATATTTGTTACAGTTTCTGTAGTCTGCATAAGTACTTGCGCTTATCATCTTCATAGCACAGTTGGCTGCAGTATTTGTGCTTGGCAATTTTTTTTTAAAATCTTCAAGTGACTTTTCAGTGCCAGAAATGCATCCGGAATGGCTTAGGCATTTATGATTGGAATTGAAAGGGGAACTAGAACCTGATACAAGTTGCCTTCTAGTAGATAATCAAGGATGACCATGAAGAAGCCAAGATTGAAACAATGCACATACCTAACATACTTGAAAAGCCATCTTTGTTTTCAAGTCCTCTTTGGCAGGTAGACGCTATAGATAAAAATACTAATTTTTCTACAATTAGCTGCTTCCTCTTCTCTCTCTCCTAGCTGTTGAAGCCAGTAAGGAAACCCTTGAAATGGTGATTTGTCAGTTTTTCAGAACAAAATGAAAGGCAAATATGCAACTTTGAAACTGCTGAAGTTCCCTGAGCTTTTGTTTTCCAGCCCACATCTAGGAAGGTGTTTGGCTCTTTAGGAGGGACATTGTATGTGTATACATCTTCGCTGTATGAATTTGTCATTGCTTTTAGAAGAAATGTTGAAGGCCTGAAGGCAGGTGCGCTGCTGCTGGTGGGGTGAAATCCAGTTGCAACATGAGAAATAGGCTCATTATGTATCTGCCCTACAGCACAACTTCCTCTGGAATGTGTGAACCCATCAATTTAAAACGTTCATGGGCTTTAACAACCATTATTTCATGTTACTTTTCCTCAAACGTTTTATGGTGATGCTGCTTCATATGCCTTATGGAATGCATGTGTTAATTTGTAGTGGCATAATGTAGGAATTTTTATTTTATGATTGTGTATATTGTGTCTTAATGTAAGTGCCCCTGAAATAATGATTACAATGACCGACTGGCTAAACACTGGTTAAAAAGAATACACCAATATTAACCATTTGCCTTGTGCTTTCTGTAAGTTTCTGTAAGTTTCTCGAGTAGCATAGTAGTGATGATATGGACTACCATCATGCAAAAATACCGCAAATTATTTATTTGTGTCTCTTTTTTCTTTAACACGACTGATATATTGTCCCAAATTTGTAAAGAAAAGAAATATCCCGGTCATGCAAAAATGCCTTTTAATTCACTCTGCTTTAGCACAGCCTAAAGCTGATCCAGGATTAGAGGTTTGAATGCAGAATAGGAGCATATGGGATTATCAGATTTTGCTCTTGGGTTGGTTTTTTTTTTAAAAAAAAAATAAGCCAATGTTTATATACTTCTGATTTTAACTCTGGATAGCATACTTTTGCCTGGATATTGCCATTTTTAGAACATGTGAAATAAGAGTTTATGCATATCTAATCACATGAAAGTTCCACTGTTCATTTGAGGGGTTAGGGTTTAAGCCAAACGAGTTCATAGGATTGCAGGTTTAGGTTTTTAAAAAAATCTCAATTCCATATTTATGTTGCAACGTATTTACATATATAGTACAGACTTGAAAGAAATGTTGAAAATGCCTTTCAGTCTCATAGAATGGAAGGAACAGTGGCTTCTCTCAATGCCTATTATATGTTAACTAGAGCAATAGCTCCTCAATATCACATTTAATTGTGATTTCCACAGCCTTTATCTGTGCAGAAGTAGTAGAACATATATGGCACTCCAGATGTTATTGGAGTTTCCACCAACCTCAGCTAGTGTGGCCAATTCTAGAGGTAAGTTGTAAATGTAGGCAAACTACAACATCTAAAGATCAGATATTTTCACTGTCCTCAAGACTGTTTTATTAGCAAAATATTTTCTCCATTCAACTGTGTACCGTAGGACAGCACTGCTAGGTTATTTTATTTTGCTCAGTCATGCAGCAACTGAGAACTAGAAACCAGTGCTTTGAAAATGATGGCCCAAAGTGTAACAGCATAAGCATATAATATAAAAGTCATAAGCAGGATAGAAACACCCCCCTCCCCACAGCAAATTTGTAACTGAGTAGCTTTGGGAATATGAAAAAGGAAGAATTCCAGACTTGCATTTTCTTAGTGGAGGATCAGAAAAAGCAAAGGTTTTAAGCAAATGAGGACGCAGCTTAATAACTGACTAAGAGAAAAAGGTGCAACTTGAATTAACAGCTTATGCACGAAAAGGGCAAAATATTGGCTTAGAATCACTAGGTATTGAGGACATGCCCAATCAAAATTTTAGTGTTGGCACATGTCACCACTTCAAGAGCCAAGGTGGCGCAGTGGTTAAATGCAGCACTGCAGGCTACTGCTAGATCAGCAGGTCAGCGGTTCAAATCTCACCGGCTCAGGGTTGACTCAGCCTTCCATCCTTCCGAGGTGGGTAAAATGAGGACCCAGATTGTTGGGGGCAATATGCTGACTATCTGTAAACCGCTTAGAGAGGCCTGAAAGGCCTATGAAGCGGTATATAAGTCTACTGCTATTGCTATTGCTATTGCTATTCATTGTCCATTTGTAACTTTAGTCTAAAGCCCAATAGTTTACACAATCAGCCTCCAAGAATGGTAAGAATAGTTGGTTTGTTTGGGGCACCAGACTAAATCTCTCATGATTTATGAAACCTCTTTGTGAAGAACAGCACAAGGAACTCCAGTAATAACATGAGATACTTTGAGCTGAATGTAGCTCATTATCAAATAGTTCAGATTGGCAGCGGACTCAAGATTATCTGGTTTTAGCTGTTGTAGGCAAGCTATTAAAATTGGAGGAATTTTAAGAACCTTATGAGGTGCTATTTATTATATCCATTTCACTATTCCAGTCATAGGTGTTAAGAAAAATCCTAAGATTCTCAGCCTGCATAGTCAGCATTAGGTTAAGGAAGACTCCCCCATGTTCTGATCATGCTTACCCTATGTGCGTTCTTCAGCTGTAGTCAACCATCTTATTTCCATGCTATTAACCCAAGCAGGACAATTAATTCTGAGTGGCAAATTGCAATAAAGATTCAGAGGACAAAGTAAAGTCATTAATGATATCAGTTGATATATAAATGGTGATTGCCACTACTGGGCAGTCTAAATGTGATTTTTATGCAGATGTGTGCTATGCCAGCAACATACAAATATTCCACTTACAGTACTGTAGTGACATTTAGTCATAAAAAATACAGCTGTCTCCTAAAAGGATGACATTAGCATCAACTTCCAAAACGACAGGGTACATAACAAAATCTATGTTGAATCAGATTTATTTAGGACAGCATTTTGTTTTCCACAATCACCAGATGATACCATGACGTGTTCCAAGATGTGGGTGAAATGATCTCCTTCCATTCACGTTCCCATATATTGGTGTTAATCGGTATTGGTATTACCAATATGTAGTCCTATGGTTGTATGCACAGGACATACATAAAATTATCATAATTTACTTAGTTTGGTTTTCTGAGTAACATGATCTCCTGAATGATAAATTAATGACTTGGGTTGGATTTGCCCAACACATTTAAGCTAAAATGTGATGGTTAGTTTGTGTTTCAAAATTTTTCCTGATGACTTGTACAACTGTTCTTAAAAAATGACAGATGTTTTTCTAAATATATCTGTGATTTTTTTTTAATATTCTGCCATCTTCTCTAAGATATTGATACTTATAAAAAGGAAACCAGCTCAATGCATCTATAGTGCAGGTTGCAATTTATGTGTTTGTAATTCTGTGAGCAAGGACTCCAAAGTTAAAATAGTAATGGGTGACCAAGCATTCCTAATAACTTTTTTGTTCTGACCGACATACAGATGGAGGTGACATTGTTCAGATGTATCTAAAGTAATTTCACATATTATACGCTGAAATCTATTCACGCATTCACACACATACAAATACACATAGTGAGAGACAATGTTCCTACATTACACTAAACAATATTGTGCTTTACATTTTGTGAGAGCAGCCATCATGGTTTCTGGTTTGTAAAATAGGATTAATGTCTGTGTTGCATGAATTCTGATGTATTCAGTGAACATGGTTAAAGTAGTTTGAGCATGGTATGTAAACTAATCAAAGATTTTTTGAAAAACTTACCTAGTACCATTTGAATGAAGGCTATTCTGCTTTGTTGCTGGAGAGTTTCAGCATTACATATTTTGATCAAAATTGTTGCCTTTAAAAAAACCTGCTATTATTTTGGTTTTGCTTGTGGATGCTTGTTGATCTTACCACCTTAAATTAGTATGGTGCTGTCACAGCAGAGTTATCTATTGGGTGATGAAGTCACAATGTTGGCTGCAACTGTGTACAATCAGAGAGAACCCTGTCTCTTTTAATTATGTTGTACACAAAAAAGGGATAGGGATTTGAATGGACAGTTGCTGGGGCCATCTTGACTTTTTCATCTCTCTTCTAGATGTTCCTATGCTGGAAGATATCAAAACACAAAGAAAGAGAGAGAGAGAGAGAAGGAAGGAAGGAAAGATAGATTACAGAAAAGTGAAAGAGGAAAAGGCTGAGTCTCCAGGGGTTGGTTTTGTCCTTTATATCATTGTTAGAGGAGCAAGTTTTGATATACAATGCGTTTTTCTTCTTCTTGTGCTTCCTATGAAAATGTGTACATAGTACATATACCAGAGAGAATTCAACATTTTATACATTTGAAGGCATTCAGAGATTGGTAGTTTGGAAAAAAGTTATAATGGCACAATATCAAGGCTTTTGATGCTACTGAATGGATATATACATAGACATGACATATGTGCGGGTATGTGTTTGAGTGTGTATATGTATGTATATATACATATACACACGTGTCTGTGTGTCTGTGTATATATATATATGTATATACTGTATATAATCATATTTTATATATAAGAAATATAACATGAGCATGAAATAGTAAAAATGGATAGACAAATGGGAGACAGAAGGTCAAAATGTAAGCCCTATCTTCAAAAGTTTTCAAGCAGTAAAATACAATGACGCCAATAAAAACCGCAGAATAAACAAAATGCTTTTGGGCAAAGAACACTTTAGAAAGTTTTGTGTGTGTTTGTGTGTGGGGGAATTGGCCGTGGCAGATCATACTATCTTTGGGAAATCTGTTAACACAACAGCCCACCCAATGAACAAATACATTCAATTCTGGAATGATCAGGATCCAAGTAAAATAAAGCTTAAAAAAAGAGCAATTGTATTGCAAAAGCTCTTAAAGATAAGGAGAACTTTGGCCCTGGGTGCTGCGCATGAAGCAGGTCTACGTTAATAATATTAAGAAAAGGAGGCTGGATGTGCCAAAGACTAGGGCAGGCACTAGATGCCATGTTTGTGTCCCAGGCTGAAAGGGGGATGAGTTCCTCTAAAAGTGGGGGGCAGGGAACCCAGTGTCCATGGGCTTCTCCCCATCTGGCAGCTTTGAGTCTTAGAGGCAGTTTAAATACAGTTTGTTTATATGGCAGAGAGGGTGGGAAGTCCAAGTGCCATCAAGATCCTTTGGTGTTGTGAACGGACACCTGGAAATACACAGAAGCTTATTTTTTTCCTCAGTTCTTGGAATTAATTCCCTTAATGTAATCAAAAGGTCATTTGTTTCCCATTTCTCTTTATACTTGTAAGCTCATGAAGCACAGAGAAAGTGTAGACCTCGTCTCCTGCTACTTAGCAAGGCTGAACATGCATCAGTACATCAATACAGATGATCCCGGATAATCCAGGCTTATTTTTCTGATTTCGTTTTAAAAAAGCAAGATTTCTCCCCAAACTTAACCTGTCCAGATTCCAGAGGGTGTTTATCACAGTATGGGCAGCTCTGTTGATTTGGGCTCCTTGGAGAGTGGCTGAACTAACAACAGTGGAGAAGAAACCACATCGCTACCAGAAGCAAATTTTTAAAGGTTATGGTGAGGAAGACACTGCTGTTTCTGATTCTCATTCTTATCAAACTATAGCCTATTATAAAATTCTGAAAGGCTTTTCACCAGGATGGCTTGGAATACAGTAAGTGGAACACTTACAGGACAAAGTCATGTCAGTTCATTTTTGGAGAAGCAACTGGACAACTTTTCACTGATGGTGATGTCAGTCTCTTGAGTAGGCTGTGCGGCCTACCATCACAGAACCACACATCCAGGCTCTTCTTAATTTGGATTGAAATGGTGCCTATTTGGGATTTGGGGGAGTGGGGAAGGAAATCAAACCTCCATTCTGATGTCTCTGCCTTTCTCAAGCAGGGAAGTACCAGGCACTATGGACAAGTTGTTTAGGCGATTTAAGACAAGACAAAAGCAATTGCTACAAAAAAGGAAACTCATGCCACCTTCCCTGACCTGTGGCTTTACTAGAATGCCCACCATCATTCCCAGCCGGCAAATGCTCCTCCCCAATGCAAGCCATTCATCTTGGCTTGACGGTATCGTGGCTAAATGGCCGAAACCCTAACTAGTTGACTATGACTGGGTTGTAATAGTGGCTGTTATAAAATAGGACTTGAAATTTCTTTAGGAGAAAACAGGGAGTCTGACTTGAGAATATATTCCAGAGAAAAATCTTCCCATAACACTTCTTTTATTTTGCCAGTATGCTAATGATGCATAATAAAGAAATGCCTTGCATCATTTGTATGCATTTTGCCTGGAGACCCTATGTGTATGTCTCAGAGTGGCATCTTAATCCCTACTTATGAAATCTTGGCTGATGGTGAGAAGGGACTATTTCTGCCCTTAAAAACTAAGGGGCAATGTCGTTTCCACACTGTACCAAAGCAAGCGACCCTTATCGTTGCCTTAAAAGTTCCTTCTTTCTTGCTAAAGCGAGCGCTAAGCTTCTGCCAGCCAAAGTAATGTTGGCACATTATTTCTGCCTGCAAGGGATACCCCTGTTACCATGGGAAATAAAGAGGGAAGCCCAAATCAAGAGACAGGTGCATTGCTTTCTTCTCCTATTAGCAGCTACAGACCCTGAAGCATGACCTCTTTGGAAACAATCTCTTTTGTACATTGCGGAGAATTATGTGAAATGGCAGAACTTGTTGTCTCTGAACCTCACTACTTAAGAATTGTCACGTCTTTCCTAATAACATGCACAGAAGGGGCCCAGGTAGCTCATCATGCGAATGTTGTTGTAACCTTTGGATCAGTTTTGCTACCTGCCTTTCTCGTGGGAGGACTGGGATGATGGATGGCATAGGCAAGGGCTCCAAGAAGAGCAGAGTCCAGGCCAGGTCAAATGAGAAGCTGCCAGTTGGATGGGATGAGCAGATGACGGCACATCCTACGGAAGTGGCTCTCTCAGTTTGGTTGCAGTCTTGCTCCAGGGAAGGCTATGATTGTTGTTGGCCTCCCCACAGTGCACAGTCAGAAGGGAGGGGGGAAGAGAACTGAAGCAGCACTTCCTTTCGATAGATAAGTAGCCTCTACAAACAGAATCCACAGAAACAGTCTGGCTCTATCTGTTCCTGTAGGTTCTTCTTGGCATTCGGATTAAAAGAGAGAGAGAGAGACACACACACAGAGAGAGGGCTTTGCACACAATGACCACTGCCACGCAAGGCTTACTGTGGTTAAGGAGCATGACGGATACAGAAGGAGAGACACACAGTTAAGACTTCAGTGTTTGTGGATCGGAGAAGGCTGTGCCCTCACCTCCATTGGATACTGTGGGGGGGTTTCTTCCAGCAGCACTTCTGTTATGTTTAAAGTTCAAGGGCGTCATTGGAACAGAAACTGGAGTGGATCTGGCAGCTGAGCCTCACCTCTGTCCAGCTGGCTCCATGTGCGTATCGCTGCATTGGCCTGGGGCGGATGGATGAGGAGAGGCTGCCTCTCCAGTAGTCTGAGATAGAGGCCCTGCAAAATGTTGGCAGGTCCACGGGCTGGCCCGGGCCAAAGCTGCTCAGCATGGCCCCTTCCCTTTGGTAGTGTTAGTTGTACATCCAGTTGTCAGTTAACAGGTAAAATCCTCAAAAGTTCCTCTGGCTGGGTGGTGAGGTAGGATGTTGGCTGCGTATGTCATGCCTGCTGGATGGCCTCGGATATTCTCACATGGATTCTGGAAAGGTGGAGAGGAAAAGCAAAAAGGGACATAAACAGAATGGACATGAAAGTAGCATGGTAAGCAAGAAACATTGATAAATGGGGACTCTAAGGTCCAGGATTTGTGGGTTCAAGAGACTCCATGCCATGGAGGGGAAGATGGTTTAGGAATTGGAAAAAAAAACCACAGCTAAACTTCTAGAACGTAATCAGACTTGGAATAAAGGGCACCTCCCTAGGTATTCCTCATCATCTGTCATAGAAGACTTTGAGAGACTGGTCTTGTTTCCTTAAAGTAGCCCAAGGAGATAAGATACTTTGCTGCAGATAGCTTCCTGTCTCTACCAGTGCTCCTACATGAACTAGAAATTGTTACCGCCCCGTAATTGCAACTTTTTTTGTGCCACTTGCCCCAATTCATTGGCTACTGATGCTGGTCACAATACAAGATGGCAGGATGAAAGGGTTTTTACATCCAATAGTTAGAAATCTGATTTTGGGAGAAGACTTCAACTCTTGCAGTGCACATTATAGGAGAGGTTGCGGTAGTCCATTCTGATGTAAATTCCCACGAACCATATGAGTAGTCTGCCTCAAATTTTATAGATAAAGGTAATAAAGCTTTGGGTACTCATATAGCAGCGTCACACCAAGAGCTGCGGTGGTGCAGTGGTTAGAATGCAGTATTGCATGCTAACTCTGCCCACTGCCAGGAGTTCGATTCTGTGTGGCTGAAGGTTGACTCGGCCCTCCCTCCTCCAAGGTCAGTGAAATCAGGACCCAGATTGTTGGCGCAATAGGCTGATGCTAAACTGCTTAGAGAGGGCTGTAAAGCACTGTGAAGTGGTACATAAATCTATTGCTAGCATTATCTTGTAGGAAATCTGCCTTCTTGGTAGCTGCATTCCTCCTGAGGTCCACATGGCTCCAACTCTCTTGGGACTGTAAACCTGTAACAATCTGGCTCTTCTGTCACGCTCTGGGATAGCAACAGAGCTAGAATACAACCCTCTAAACTGTTGTATTTTTGGCATTTTATACTAGCTCCTAAAGACAGATTTGTCCTGCCAAAAATAAACGTGCTAAATGAAGTAAAGAAAATGGATGTTGCTAGGTTTCAAAGTGATTGAGTAAAAAGTTAAGGGGCTGAGTAGATAATGATGGGGAGAAATCCTTAGCCATGGTAAGCCACCACAAAGCAGCATGGACAGGTGTAGATAGCTGAATTGATCATTGAGTTTTTAAATGGCTTCTGGTCGTTTACGGAATTTATTTGTAAGATTATTTACCCTGAAATTTAGGCACCTAGCAAAGTTAACCTAATATTAAAATTAATATTGTCAATATAAATACATTGGATTCCTTGTTGTATGGTATTATGAGAAGTGCAATTCTACCAGAGAGCAATAGTGATAGTCAGGATTCCTAATACAGAAATCTCCACTGCTTCACTAAACTGTAGATGCTTTATTGGTTGAGAGAGTTTGGCACAATTAAAATGATACAGACTCAGTGATCCTCAAGCGTGTAACCGGGCCATCCATTTGGCAGATGACAAGGGGATGTACTACATTATGAGGTGTAGACACTTACATGGCGCTTCACATCATCCAGGCTCAGGGCAACACCCTTGTCACTGTTGTTCCCTTTGTGTTTCTTCTCACACTTGTCACGGCGACAGAGGTGGAACTTAATAACCTAGAGATTGAACAAGAGGAAATGTTCATCATTGGAAACTATTAATTGGGATTCTTTAGAATTCTTAGGTACAGACAGTATGTCAGGGAATAAAATGCCATGTGATTGAGCTGTTAACACTAATAACCACATTGAAATAAGCTTTAGGTCACCCACCCCCTATTCTGAAAATGGTGTATTTCAGTGAAGTCTGATGAAGAATTACTTTCTTAATTATTTATTGCTAAAACTTAACACTGTTTTTCTTAACTGAAGAAAACTAAAAGTTTGCTTCAAAACTGAATTACAGCATATGTTTACTGGATACCTCCTTATAAGCCATAAATTGTGTTCCTTTCCCTCATGTTAATGGTGACCATCACTCACCTCATAGGCATAGTCAAAAAGCTCAAGCACAGTCAGTAAACTGGCCCCAATAAACAGTCCCATCTGTCCCCCAATGTCACCTGCACGGGAGAGACAGGAAGACACATGTCAGGTCTTTAGATGCATCCCAATCCCAATCTTGGCATCTTTCTTAAGTGGGGTAACTTCCATCTCTGGGTAATCCCCAGTTATGCCAACCCGCATTGAAGGGAAAGGGGGAAACATGGAGATTTTGCATTACACTGAAGTCAGCCCCAAAGGTCACCCCTGCCCTGGAAGCCTGGCATCTACAGAATCTGCTCCAACTGGCAGTCAGAAAAAAAGTGACCTCACCCAGCAGTCCAGCTACTTCATATGCTTTCTTCTGCTCAATAGTTTCATAGTTCAAAGCTTCGAAGAAAATGTCCAGAACGAGTATGTTCTCCCTGCGTAAGATGAAGGGAAGTAAAAGGGATCCAAATTTTAAAATCTGCCCACCAAAGAATCCTATAAGTAGACCCTATGTGATGTTTGCAGTTTTGGCTAATGACCAACTTAGCAAAACAAGACACCAGAGCTGTAGAAGTGAGAACAGATACAGACGCTCAACATGTCTATACCTAAAGACTCAAATGATGGTTTGTGGAATCATGACAAGATATGTAGAACATTTCCTCAGAAGAACAGGATTGAAGAGATGGGAGACCTATCTGTCTTTCTGTGTTCCAGTCAGTTTGTCCATCAATCCATCCATCATCTCTCTCTCTCTCTCTCTCTCTGTCTCTCTCTCTCTCAGCTATCTATCATCTGTCTGTCTGTCTATTTGTCTATCTATCTAATCTTTTATCTGTTAAATTTATTTGCCACACATCTCACTGTAGGCTATTCTGGGGAGATTACAATATTAAAAACAATAAAACCATGTAGAGTGCATGGCATTAGTCCAGGTGTGAGGTGACTGGAGTTTGAATGATTGAGTGAAGGGACTCCTGATCCAGGAAGGGGTGCAACTGGACACAATATGAGTATTCAAATGCCTGTGTTCACCAACTAGGAAAGGAAGAAATGTTCTCCTGGAGTGCTTCCACTTGCTAAGAGAATTTTTTTTAATAGGAAGGAAGAGCCAAATAATGCCTTCTTCATTGCATGGCTGTGAAGAAAAAAAGATAATAGATGAGTTGGTTGCAAGGACAAAACTCACCCAGGGAAAAAAACTCACCCAATGTACTGTTCACTCTTGTTGTATTTCTTGGCCAAGTACTTGGCTGAGGCCTTGCTGGGGATCTTCACCATGGACAGCTCTTTACCGTAGCGTGTGACGTTGCAAGGCATCTCACATACACAATAATCATTGTCCCGCTCCACCAAGAAGTCTGGAGACCCCAAAGGAAGGGAGAAGTCACAATGATTTCGAATAACAAAATACCAAATACCATTCGTAACATCTTATTTTGAGAGACTGGAGAGGTGATGTCTATTGGTCCTTACCAAGGGCTGGATCTGCACATTCTTTATACTGTTCAGGGGTGCAGTAGGGAGCGTCACCTGAAAAAGAACATAAAGTGATGTAATGCGAGCAATTATTATGGCGAAGATAATTCCTGCTGAATTTCTACTCTTAATGTCTAATGGGCTTCTCTCTCTCTCTCTCTCCCCCTCTCCTTCCCTCCCTCCCTCTCCCTCTTCTCTTTCTCTCCCACCTTCCCTCCTTCTCCCTCTCTCCCCCCTTTCATTTCTTTCTCTCTCCCTCTCCCTTTCTCTCTCTCCTCCCCCTCCCTTTCTCATCTCTTTTTCTCTGTCTCTCCCTCTCATCTCCCTCTCTCCCACTTTCATATTTCTCCCTATTCTCATCTCACTCTCCCCTCCCTCTCCCTCCTTCTCTCTACCCCTTTCTCTCCCTCTCTCACCTCTTTCTCTCTTTCCCTCCCTTTCTCTCATTTCTTTCTCTCTCCCTGTCTCCCCCTCCCTCTTTCTCTCTCCTCCCCCTCCCTTTCTCTCTCATGTCTTTCTTTCTCTCTCCCTCTCTCATTTCTCCCTTCCTTTCTCTCTCTCATCTTTCTCCTTATCTCTCATCTCTCTCCCCTCCCTCCCTCCCTCCCTCTATCCCTTTCTCTCCCCTCCCTCCCTCTATCCCCTCACCCTTCTTCATCCTGCTTTCCTTCTGTTGGAAGGAGGGAGGAAAGTTTTTACAAGCATATCTGAAATGGACCAATGATTGAAGAATTGAATAATTTTACAGGGTGTCTTATTTTAGTCAAATAATTTAACTTAGTTTAAATCTTTACTTCTTTTATATCTTGTCTTTTGTTAAGGAGCTCAAGGTGTTGACGGTTATTGTTTTATCTTGGCATTCTATTTTTGGAGTGTGGTCTTTGACAAGTAAATGTATGCACATCTACATACAAGGTTGTGATATGGGCAGATTGATTGAGTGAAGGAAAATTTATGTGTTTATAAATATAAACAGTATATTTCTATCTTTTTTTGGGAGGAATCAAATTAAGTCATGTTTTTTCTTTTGGGCTAATAAGGTAATATTTAGATTTTAATGATTGTATTATATTATACTGTTGGAGTTTTTCAATATATGAAGTGGTAAACCTGGAATTATTGTTGATGTTGTACATCTGTATTTTTATTAGATCAGCGTCCTATATTAAAATGCCCATTCAACACTTATAGAAATCAATTTTAAGCAAAGTCTAACACATATAATACACAAACGTTTGAATGAAAAGGAGGAGATCTTATATTTGGGATCTTGATTTTGTGATTAAAAAAAAGTTGTTAAAAATGGACACTGTTGATATATTTGTTTCCAGAACTGCTGCCTCTCCATCTTTCTTTGTGAAACATATTTAAAGGTGAAATATATTTAGTTGAAATTAACCATGTCCTAGGTATTTACAGCAGGAAATGAGAGAACTGCCATTCATTGGCAGTGCTGTTTGCCATTTTTCCCATGTGCCATTTTTTCCCAGCCCCAGTGATTAAACCTGGACTGTTCTGTGTGCAAAGCAGGTCCTCTATTATTCCTGGGCTATGAACCTTCCTTTAATGTGACAGTGAGCCTTACACTGTCTTCTGTTGCTTTTATATCTGGAATATCCACACAATGCAGAAACTGTTTGTTAGATTCCCTTCTCTATGAACCTTCTATGTACCAGATTCTGTCTTATAGCTAGAAATAAGAAAAACAACAACCCTATACTGGCAATCCTTGATTAACAACCACAACTGGGACTAGCAATGCTATTGCTAAATGATGCGGTTTAGTAAAATCACCTTAGGATAAAACTGACTTTGCTTGTTGGTAGCTGACTGTTAAGCATGCAGATGGTGATCACGTGACGTGACCGCAGGACTGTGCAAGAGGTGTAAACACCCGCCAGCTGCAAAGTGCAGAAAATCTCGATCACATGACTGCCAGAGGCATTGCGACAGTTCTAAGTACAAGGGCTGGTCATAAAGTCATTTTTTCAGCACTATCGTAATTTCCAACCATCATCAAACAGTGTGATTGTTAAGCTAGGTCTACTAGACATGGGGGGGGGGGAGTGTGTGTGGAACCCAAGCAGAAGAAAATCTAATCTTAGTGCTTTCCATCCTCATGCTTTGAAAAGGGAAAACATTTTCCTTCTTAGGGATTGTATTCTAATACTAGATGCCCTACCTGAAATAATCCAGGGAAAGCTTTAGAGTAGGGGTGTCAAACTCAAGGCCCGGAGGCTAGATCCGGTCCATGGGGTGCTTAGATGTGGCCCGCGAGGCCACCCTGGAAATAGCAAAGGACCAGCCCATAGGGGCTCTGCCAGCGAAAATGGGAGCTGGGGAGGGCTACAGGCAGCCCTCCTGAACTCCATTTTCGCTGGCAGAGAGTTGCAAGAGGCTGTCGCAACTGAAAACGGAGCTCGGGAGCCCATTTTTGCTGGCAGTGCACTCGTGCCACCACAGGTGACCCCGATATGAGTGATATCGAGCTGGCCATGCCCGCCCCAGCTCCCTGAAGTCAAACATAACCCTGATGTGGCCCTCAATGAAATCGGGTTTGACACTCCTGCTTTAGAGCTTAACTGCTCTGGTTATAGAAACTGGTCCTCAATTTTTCCACAGAGAGTAAATATTGCATTAATACATTGCGTAAACAAAGTATCCAGTTAAAAATGGTACACTTAATGAAGGTATTGCCATTGTCTCTATTTTATTTGCAACTTAAGGCAAACTTATTAGTCAGAACCTACACTGAATCTGAACACAGATGCAACAGTGTTGCATTATGCAATTAAAATTGATTTCAAACCCCTGCATTAATCCATGTCTTTATTTGTCTATCATCTATCCTAAATAATTATACCAATATTAATTTCTAATCAGGTTTGATCTGTAATCTGAAAAATACCCCCCCCCCTATTTTCTCATTCTGTGCTAGTCTGCCTACTCTTCCCTAGGAGATGGAGCGGACTAAAATAATTAACTCACTTCCTTATTAGGATTATGCTAATTACATATCTGGAAGGGCTATTCTGATTAACAAGAAAGACACTTTACAGATCAATGTGAGGTGGTTGAAAGAGTCCTGTCATCTGTTAAAGCATGCCTTAGAACTAGAAAATGGGAGTGGCTCAATTAGGGAAAGCTATAATTAGAGATGAACCATAATAAGAAGCACTTTTAAAGAATATTTTCAGCAACTGTAAAACAACTCACTTCCATTGCTTTGGGGCAATGTTGGTAATTACTTTGAAAATAAATGAAAATATTCATGTCTTGACAAAGTAGCACCCTCATTCTAAGGATAGTTTATTGCGCCACTGTGATACTTCTAAGATGCTTGAGATATATAGCACAGACCACATAGACTAGATATTATCATATAAATTAGCATATTCTTCTGGGAGAGCATGGTGGAAATTGTGGTATATGTATCATCACCACAATCATAATCATCTAAAGGATTGAAAACATACAACAGTTAATTCCACAGCTGAATATATTATGCAGATTAACATACTTCTGCTGACTGCCGGTTGCCAGCAGTTTGATTCTGACCAGCTCAAGGTTTACTCATCCTTCCATCCTTCCGAGGTCGGTAAAGTGAGGACCTAGATTGTTGGGGGAAATATTCTGACTCTGTAAAACTGCTTAGAGAAGGCTGTAAAGCACTATGAAGCGATATATAAATCTAAGTGCTATTGCTATATGGCACATTCTTATATTGGTTCACTTCTAGTGCAATATTGTTTTTGATTGCAAAAGTAATCCTACTGCTGCTATGTGAAACTTTTTAAACTGGAGGCCCAGTTGAAGATTGGGTGGTGCTATGGCTAGAGGCAGGAGTGAAATTCAGCAGGTTCTGACAGGTTCTGGAGAACCGGTAGCAGAAATTTTGAGTAGTTTGAAGAACTGGCAAATACACCTCTGGCTGGTCCCAGAGTGGGGTGGGAATAGAGATTTTGCAGTATCCTTCCCCCAGGAGTGCGGAGGGAATGGGGATTTTGCAGTATCCTTCCCCTGAAACACCCACCAAGCCACGCCCACAGAACCGGTAGTAAAAAAAAAAATGATTTTCACCACTAGCTAGAGGTTTAAGATGCTGGGCTTATTAGTTGGAAAGCCGACAGCTCAGGTTCGAGACCCGAGCATCATGCAACGGGATGAGCACCTGTCTTCACCGCTATAGCTCCTGACCACCTAATAGTTTGAAAGCATACAAATGTGAGTAGATAAATAGGTACTACTTCGGTGGGGAGGAAATGCTGCTCAGTGACATCATGCTGGCCACATGACTGCAGAAACATTTTTGGACTGTCAGTGGCCTTGAAATGGAGATGAACAGCACCCCCTATAGTCAGCAACGACTAGCAGAATAAAATCCACAGGGACTCCTTTTCTTCAGGTGAGGAACTGGGATCTTCTACACTATAAATCTTGTGCTTTTATGACTCCGTCTGATTCTCATTTCCTGCTTGCTTATTAAACTGAAACAGTTGAGATGGTTGGAATTCTGGAATGTGGTGTTTGCTGGGTGTTTGAGACTTGGCAATAGCTCTCTCCAGTCTGCAAGAGGAGCTGTCCAGCACTATCAGCAGTCAGCTGACTTGGTGAAGAATTGGAGTGGAGCTGGGCAGATGATTATTATCCTATACAGAGTTTCAGCACAGCACCTGATTGAGATGTACTGGTATCTCCTAATGTGACTACACTTAACTGTCAGTATTCATTTCCCATCCGCCATCCCCACCTCATGCTTCAAACCGAATCTTAACTCCAAGGGGCTGAACTTTAATTTATTACTGTTTTGAATACAGAGCAGTGATTCTGGAGAATGCAAAACTAGGGGAGAAATCCAACTGAGGAACATTAGATTTCTGATTCTGCAGATCTTTTGCATTTATTACAGCCATGCAGTTGTCCTCTATATTCCTGATTCATTCTGGAGACCACTCTAGAAGAGATATTAACCTTAGACTACTGTTGACCTACCCCATTCCTAAGAGGTCTGTAAGGGGCATGCCTAAGTGCACCAACATGCCTACCATCTCTGTACTAATGTTCCCTTTTATTCATATCCATTTCATGTATTCATAATCTTGTATATACTTATATCTATTATCTTATACACACTTGACAAAACAAACAAACAAATAAATATCTAATCCAGTTTCAGCTCTGGGTTCTGCAGGCATTAACATAGGCAACCTGTTGTTACACAAGTAAATGTGGCATGCTAGCCCACCATTTAAATATCAAAATAGCATGCACATTTTGGAGTGTACTCCCATAAAACAGCCCTTCATCTTGCAAAGGGCTCAATAAGAAGATTATGATTATTAATAATAATAATAATAATAATAATAATAATAATAATAATAATAATAATAATAATAAACAATTGCAACTACTATGGACTCCGGTCCTTAGCTTCCCTTCAGATCTATCCTTCCTTCTTACCAGGCATATGCACCATACGGCAGTTGCAGTTCTCCACCAAGTAGCGGGTTTCACAATCGATGCGGCAAGCAGTGATGCTATAGGTGTCATAGAATTCAGACTCCACTGTCACTGACTTGCAGTCACCCCAAGGTGGAGGAAGGTAGATAAGCTGAGCAACAGAGGATAGAATGAGAAGGTCAATATCTCCTTAGTCTTTCCCAAGACAAAAAGAAGAGCTCCATTTGGCCTGTAATGATGATGTCATATACATAGACTCACTAGAGTTTACAAGTGAAACACATAAAATAATATTACCAATAGCATATCCCAGTGTAGACAAGGATACAACTCTGAAGTCACTGCCTGCTACTCAATAGGACTAGCCATTTGACCACAGCCTGGATTCCTGGTTCAGATTTTAGGGATATTTCAATCTAAGCCGCCGCTCTTTACAAAGGAGAATGGAAAACAAAGCATTGCGGGACATTTCTGGTTTTTTTTTTCCCCTTGCAAGAATTTACATTCACTCGTTATCCTGCTTTTCTTCCAGAAACCCAAGGCAGCGTACATAACTACCACTTTCAATTTTTATTCATGATAAAATAGGAATAAAATGTTGTGGCCCGCCAGCGGCCAGTGGAGCTGGCACCAGATTCAGACAGTAAGGAGGTTGGGGAGGGAAGTGGGCCAGTCCTGGAGTCTGGGGAAGGCTCTGATGAGGGCTCTGAATTGGAGGCAGAGAGAGGGCTAGAGCCGTATGCCAGTTATCAGCTGCCTTCGGAGTCAGACATGGAGATGAACAGCTGGAGCCTGTTCCCAGTGAGCACATGCGCAGAGTTGCCAGATGCAGGGAATAGTTAAGGAACAAGGGTCAACTTGGGAGTAAGACCACAGGTGGATGGTGAATGGCCCCTCCCATAGGGAATAAAAGGGGAGCAAAAGGGAAGGGGTATTTGCAGGAGATAATTACCATATTTTTCAGAGTATAAGATGCACCAAGGTTTTGAAGAGGCAAATTTTTAAAAAAGTAGGTAGGTAGATAGAGGAATAGAGATGGAGAGAAAGACAAATACAGTAGGTAGGTATGGAGAGAGAGAGAGTAGTTAGGTAGTAGGTATGTAGGTAGATAAAGGGATAAAGAGAGGGAGAGAGAAATAGAGAAAGATAGAGATAGATAAATACAGTAGGGAGGGAGGGAGGGAGAGAGTGTACGTAGGTAGAGGGATAGAGAGAGAGGGAGAGAAATACAGTAGGTAGGTAGGGAGAGAGAGAGTGTGTGTAGGTAGGAAGGTAGATAGGTAGGTAGAGGGGGAGAGGGAGAGAGAGAGAGAGAGAGAGAGAGAGAGAGAGAGAGAGAGAGAGAGAGAAATACAGTAGGTAGGTAAGGAGAGAGAGAGAGTAGGTAGGTAGGTAGGTAGGTAGGTAGG